CTGACTCCTGATATGGGAATGGCAGCTGTTTGGGGAAGGCTCAAAAGCAACTAAAAGTGATTGCTTGGGGGTTATGAGAGTTTCTCCCCTATTTATTCAGCACCAGTGGTTTCAGGCAGCCCAAGAAGACACAGTCACTCCAACTGCACAGGGCTCTTTTGGGGTTTCCAAGCAGAAAGGTTAAAGATGAGTAAAACTGTCTTCCTGGACTCAGCTCAATAGAACGAGGCATGAGGAAGGTCCTGCTGTTATTTAATACTTACTGAAAGCCCACAAAGCTCTACTATACATGAGTACAAAATTATGGCATGATCTTTAGCCACTGGAGGCCCGGCTGAATCTTCATGAGAAGCTACAATGCTGACTTCCCACAGAAGCAGAGAAACAGTTAAGGGACATTACACCCTCCGTGATTGGCTGGTGTGACTGCACTTAGCAAGCAGAGCTTTCCAGCAAGATGGAGAGGCACTCCCTGCTCTCTGCTCTGGGTCCCTGAAGCACAGATTCAGTCTATTTAATGCACTCATTACATCTTTAATTATCAAGATTTACTTGCTTGTTGATTCTACACTTGCTGAGTGTGGCCTACTATGTGTCAGGCACAAATCAGGTGCTTAATAACTGTTGATAGAATGAAAAATGGAATCTCACTCAGCCTGTGAGAATGCAGTATGAGTATATGCATTTGTGAGGGCATAAGTGTAGGATTAAAAAAAAAAAAGTGTTGCTTGAGCTAAATTTTGAAATATGAGTGGGAGTTAACCCCGTGGATAAGGGGAGGGGGGTGAGAAGGCATTCCAGGAAGAGGTAAAAGCACATGCCAAGGCATGGAGCTATATGGGGACTCGAGCACAGCTTACATGCTATAAAGCTAGCCTGGTGCTGGATAGAGACAGGGGAGGAAACCTGCTTTCAAACCAGTCCCAAGAACTGGTTTGAGATCGTATACTTAAAATATTTGCTTAGAAGGGAATATGAGTTTCAATTCCAGGGAGAGAAAAACCAAGATAGATATGGATTTTCTGAAGTCAGGAAACAGCATTGCGCTCATAATCCCAAGGCTGACCAGCGAGTGCACTGCTTGGCCTTTGGACACAACTGAAAACTCTTCTCCACAGTGTAAGAGCTGGTAGGTGGTGACTGTAGTGAATCACTGGGGGTTTCCCTCTGGGAGACCCATAAGTCTGATAAGCAGAGGGGATGGTGAGGGGAGAGAGAAAAGTCAGCGAGAGGACAAGAGTCAGCCAGTCGTCAATACACTGTTGTTTTAGTGAGAAGACCCCAGTGGGATGAATCATTTCTCCAAAACCAAAGAGAGATCAGTTATTAAGGGTTTTATAAATTGTAGCATGTTACCCAGATATATAAGGTACTGTCATTATTATGATAGGAAGCCAAGAGTGTGGCCAGCTCACTCAAAGCATATGGGCAAAAGTAATTTTGGCAAGGCAATAGCAAGGGGGCTAAAAATGTTAAAGGCACAGAACAACAGTTGTGTTTCAGGGATGCCTGGGAAAAGGCATACTCAAATTTGATTCCTGCAGATACTTTATAAAGCTGTAATTCCCTCCTTACTTTTCTTACTGTTTACAGTAAATTATGAGAGAAGTTCAAACTGATTCTATGTGAATTCCTCAAGGGCAAGGAACACTCATATTTACCTAGCATTGTGCCTGGCAAGCAGGTAGCACTTAGTAAAGGTGGGTCTCTGAGAGGAGTGCAGGAAGGGGAGGAAGGATGAAGGGGGATGTTATAATGGAAAAAAAAAATCATGTCTCCAGCTGGACAGTGATGGTTTGGTTTCTTGTCCAAAGCTAGTAAGCACTTACTGTAAGTACTTGGTCATTCACATTGAGGGGTGGAATGGATAATGATATCCCCAGCAAAATGAATAAATCAACTTGAGAAATGAAGAGAGCAGAAATCAAGAGTGCTACTTGGGGTACGCTTGTGGAGAAAAGCATGTGGGACTGGAAAATAATAGATTCTGTAGCTGAAGAGAAAAGAAAAGTATTTGCAGAAATATTATCCACTTCGGAGAAGGTGTACCGGTGGGGGGGAAGGAATAGGGCCTGGGAAGGTCCTACCGTTTCTGTCAAGGAAAAGGAAGCACTGTCAAAAAGATGGCAAATGTGGAAGGAAGAAAACCATAAGAATGTGGTCAAAGTAGATGTGTAAGATCAAATGCTGAAAAATCCAGACAGTAAAATCCAGAGATATTTGTATACATACAAATAAAATCTGGTGAGACATCATCTTCCCATTTATTTCCCTTTGGAGAAAAAAAAATATTTTGAGCCAACAAGGCCACTTGGTAACATCCTTTACACCTATTCTAGAATGATTTTACTTGTAGTGCATATCGTAATGAGGACAGAGATAGCATTGTCAGGGTTTCCTAATCTTAATGTTTACCCAATACTAGACATCAAGGAAGTGTGACATCCAAGGTCCAGTATTTGGGAGGCACCTGTGGTCATCTGGCAATTTTTCAAGGGTCATGAGCAAGTGCGAAACCAAGAGCTCTCAGTAAAAAGATTAGTTTAAGAATAAAATACCAACGACAAATCTCTGAATTAGAGTAAAGATCATATGTGCAGGCTTGTTCCTTCTGATTTTCTTGTTAAAAAAAATCCCTGTTTATTTTGGTGTGTTAAACCAATAAGAGGGGTTTGAAATGAAAGGGGATTATAAACAACTCTAATGGGGAGCTGTTTAACCAATATAAACCTTTGTCAGAGTTTTCTCTATTAAGCTGTGGGCACCACACCCAAGCTTCAGGCAGCCATCCAGTTAAACGAAAAGCTAACAACTGGTAAACTGAGTTGTTCTGCTTTTCTCACAAGCCTGTTTTCTATTCTCACTATATAATCCCAGGAGCTCAAGGAAACCACTTCTATTAAAGAAGGACGTTACTGCGTTTGGATGTGTGGAAGAAGGCAGGAAGGGGAACAGGAAACCTCTCCCAGGAAAGCTCTGCGGTGAATTCCATGGCTTAGCTCCTTTCACCATTACATTTTTGGACAAGAAATCAGTCTATCTTTGGTTCCAAATCCACACCTTTGGGATTCGAGTGGAGTGAAAGTTCTATGAGAGATGAGGGTGCATCAGGAGCAGAACCTTTACAATCCCCAGACAGCATTCTCCCAATAAGCCTTGCTTGGTTTGGCACCATTTCTGCCTCCTCCTTCTCGTGGAGAGGTACTATTGGGTAGAAGTGTCCTGACTGCTATCTGCAGAGCAGCGTCTGCTGGTGCATGTAATCAGAGGACAGTGTGGATCAAGCTTCCTAAAAGCGATCCTGTCCTTCCTTTCCCTCAAGGAATCTGCAGCAGGGAGGGTGGTCTCCCAACACCCATCCTTTGAAGGACTCCTTTAGTTCCCCAGAGCAAGTCAGATCAAAGACCACACCCAGAGGCCTCTCCCAGACCCCATAAGTCTGGAGCCATCCAGAAGCAAGATCATCGTGGGGCTGCCAGGGAAGGAAGCCACACCCTGAACTCAGGGCATTCAGTGAAAATCATATATTGCAAAGTCTCATTCCCACACTGCCCTCACTCACTCATTCAATCACACTGACTGAGCAAAGACTATTGCAAAGCCCTGGGCTGGCTGCCATAATGCAACTTATTAACAAATATACATTCTTGCTTTGCCTCTCCTTGATACTTTTCCCCAAATAAACTTCTGAAAACAAATTTCATGATTCCAAGCTTTGTGACCACAGGCAAACTGCCAGGCTTCTCTGAGGGCAAAATGCCTAATGATTAAGTGGGAATCGTTTCATGAGGCTACTGTAAGAATTATATAAGAGGCGAAACATCCCTGGTACAGTCCTGGGCACACGGATGCTCAATAACCCCACACATCCTCTCTTCCTTCAAAAGACTCTCCTATCAGCACCTGCCACAGGCAGGTATTCCACCTGTTCTACTGATTTCTTGCAGGGGTTCAAACCTCTGCTGCAGATGTCTCCCTGGCCCTCCCCTCGCCTGTGACCTGTGCTCTTGCAGAAGTTCCTGCCTCGTGAAAATCCCATCTGTTGTGCAGTGGCCCACCACGGAGAAGAAAGCCCCAGCTGTGGGTGAGTGGTGCTGGTGGACAGAGGCCCCCCAGAGTCCCTGCCACTCCACCCTGTAGGAGGGAGACAAGTTAGGGCGCAGTAAGTCCTGAGGAGAAGTTACTCCTGGCCTGATCCCAAGGGAGACTCCTCTCTCCTCAGCAGTTCGAGGGCACTTTATCAGACCGTCCCTTACACAGGGGTGATCTGGGGGGTCCACCCCCACCGCAAGCTTCTGAGGCTCCCGCGTGTTCCCCAGTGCGCTCCTGCTGAGGGGCTCCAGAGCCCACAGTCACAGACGGTCCCTACGCGGACCCGCCACACAGGGTCTCCCCGCGGCAGCAAATGCAGTGTCTCGGGCGTCTCCGCTGACAGGCAGCCCCGGGGGGGGGGGGGGGCCGCGCCCACACACTGCCTCAGCGCCCCCGCGGGGAGTCGCGGCCCGCTGCCCCGCCCCGCCCCCGTTTACTGGGACCATTGAGACACATTTTGTCAGTCACAGTGCATCTGGTCTCTGTCTGAGCCAATCAGTGTCGGGAGGGCGGGGCCGGGGGGCCGGGAGGCTTGGGGATTGGCGGAGCGCAGCCTGTGCCCCAGGGCATGCCGGGAATAGTGGTGGCCCTGGAGCGGCAGACCAGGCTGAGCCCTCCAAGCCCTTGAAGTTGCGGGGGAGGCTTAGCTTCAGTGTTTTGGCTGAGAACGCCCTTAAAGCTTAAAATAAAACCTGCTTGCAGGGTGTGGGGGAGGGTGGAGGAGGACGCAGTTCAGCGGCCCCCGACCTCCCTCAGTTATGGTATGTAGTGGAGGATTTTGGGCTAGAGGACTGATGAGTCCAACACCCCCAGCCCCCAGCAGACTCTCCAGATCCCCACAAACTGCACCCCAGCCACACCCCAGGATGCCTCTCCGCACTTACGAAGGAAATGCAAGCGACCAGGAGAAGGATCCGCACCAGGAGGTCTTCAAACTGCTCTACCACCAACTCCCACAGGGACTTCCCTGGGGGAAGAGGCGAGCAGAGGGCCCCCAGGATGAAGGTCTAGAGGATGAACGTGTGGGACTCCAGCCTAGAGCAGGAATGGGGTGATAGGCACCTTGATACCGACAGAAGGGTGGAGGGAACTTGCCAGGAGTCAAAAACAGGCTCCCAAAGTGATGGGCAGTTGTTCAAGGGCTGGATATCTCAAAGAGAAAGTGCCTGGAAACTTGTGCCCCCAGCCAGACTCTAACCTGTGGGGAGGGCCGTTTGTCCTGGGAGTCGTAGGGAGAAGGGAGTGGGGTACAGAGGAGACGGGGGTCATTGATGAGAACTCAGGGAGTCCAGTAACTTACCTTCCTCAGCCGGGAGCTCTACCCAGGGAAACAGAAAAGGACATATTCATTTGGGGTTCATTCTAATACTACCCCACCACCACCACCAGGACTTATGCCTAAAGTAAGGGCACCAAGCCACCAAAAGGGCACCTGAGGTTCACCAAGGTCATCCCATAAAACCTCCCCAAACTCTGAGTCTCAGGGCCCTCCCCTCCCCTGCAATCTGTACCATGAGCCAGTTCCTCCCTGGGGTACCCTGGAGGGAGCGCCCCTGTGTGCATCTGCGTGTGTGCATGTGTGTGTGCTACAGTACTATGAGAGGGCCCTGCCAGTCTCCCCCAAGGGACACTCACCATTGGGGCCGTATTTCTCCAGATGCCGCTTAACTTGGTCCGGGGTGAAGCCTATTGTCTCGCTTACCCCAAAATGGGCCAAACATTCCTCTGTGGTCTTGGAGTGTGCGGCCTCCATTGTGCTCCCTTCCTGGGGGCCAGGGGGAGGTATGTTCCTTCTAGGGGGGGCCTTCCTCAGTGTGTCCACACGTGGGGGGCCTTCCTCAGTGTGTCCACCTGCCTGTTTGTCTGTGTTTCTTCCTTTTCTCTCCTACCCCCCAGGTTTTTCTTTCCTCCACGAAGCTCTGACCCCCGTCCCACTTGCAGCAGCCGGCCACCCCCAGCCCCCCGCAGGTCCTTATGAGGGAGTAGGGGAGGCCAGGCTCCCCCTCCCCCAGGTCAGGGATTGGCTGGCTGAGACTCCAGCAGGAGGGGTCAGGAGAGAGATATTTCTGCTGACAGAGGGGGAACAGTGGGGCTGCAGCCTGAGATGTCACTCACGAGGGAGCTAAGGTGGCTCCAGACCCAGGGGAGGGGGCAGGGAAAAACACTGCTTTCTGTCTTCTGCTATGACTCCTCCCCCAACTGCCTCGACTTCCTCAGTTACACTTAATTTCCTATTCCTGTTCTTTCCCTGAACTGACTCCTCTCAGACCTTCACATTCACTCCCCTGGCACCTCTTCCCAGTTCGCCCAACCTGACCCCGTTTCTATTGCCACAGTTCTCCTTCCTCCTCACCTACTTTACAGAAAAGTTAGCAGAGATACTCCAACTTTTAGGGGATCGAAGAGAAGAAGGACATCCTTTGAGGGCCAGAGGAAGTGGCTCTAGAGGAACAAGGGGAAGTAGGGAGCGAGAGGGTCAAAGGGACAGGGCAGAAGATGGTAACTCTACCCTTGGGAGGGGTTGCCACAGCCATCAACAAGGGATTTAGTGTCCAGGCCCTGTGATCAAAGCCAGGACTGCCTGTCTCTCCCCTAAACTGCCCCCCATCATCGCTCTAACTGAGCCTCTGAGAACATGGCCTTCAGGGTTCCCCCATTCCCGACAGGGAATCCCCCGCCCCCCGTACAAGAAAACGGGATACCCAGGCAGCTGGGTAACCCAAGAGGCTACAGAATGTGCTGATGGCAGAGAGGGAGAGATGTCTCAGGATGGGGGTACGGTCACCCCAAGTCATGTATTGAGGGTCACCTCACCCCACACTGTGCTCTTTAGCCCAGGGTTTACAGAGGTGGTGTGTGGTCTGCAATGCACTCTGGTCCTGAGTATCTGGCAAAGGTACTGAGGTGTGCAGTTGTGTGCTCAACCCCACTGGAAGAGACAAGCGGAAGGGCACAAGGAGAGGGGCCTGGGGGCGCTGGATAAGGCAGAGGCTGCAGCCCCAAGGAATGGGCTCAGCAGGTCTAGGGGAAAGGACAGAACAGAGCCAGAGCTGGGGGAGCAGAGGGGGCTGCAGGGTTAGAGGAGGGGGTCTGAGGTGCAGTGGGAAAAGGGGTAGCCCAGAGGTGGGGGGGAGCAGCCAGGGGGTGGGGACGGGGCCAGGGCTGGGTGCAAAGCCACAAGTTGTTGCTGAGCGGCTGGCCTTGGCGTCAGCTTCCTCAGAGAAGCAGCTGCTCTGAGCCCCCCACCCCCCGGCCCCACCCCTGCTTGGGGATGAGGGACTTTTGGTTCCTATCAGGGCAGCTGCTGGAGGAGCAGACAGGGTAGACAGGGTGTGGGTAGGAGAGGCAAGGAGGGCAGAGAGGCTCATGGAGAATCCTGGGAAAGGTCAGTGAGGGGAAGCACATTTTGACCCTGTCCTCCAGCCCTAACTCCATCTCGGCCTGCTCCCTGAATGATGAGGCCACGGACCTCGGAAAGGGCCTGGAGGCTGCTTGCTATTCTCGTGCTCAAGTTCCTCAGTAGACGAGAGACACAGAAGACGGCAGGCAAAATAAAGGGAAACCCCACTTTTGGGGAGTGGGTAGGTCAACAGGGATGGGGTGGCTGGCACTTAAAGATTTAGCTCCCCTCATACTCACCCCTTCTACTCCCTGAGCTTGGGGGAGGGGCAGCCTCCAGGGTGAGTTAAGGGCACGGTGCTCCTCCCCTCCCTCCCTTCCCCCCCTTTACAGGGTTCCCAACCCCTCCCCTGAATCAGAATCCTGCTGTGACCCATTAGTGGGAGGGGGGGTCAGACAATGGGATGTGTCCAGGTCATATCAACAGGCACCTCCACCTGGTCTAGCACCCACCTTCTCAGGTCAGAGCCAGGCATAGCATGTGCCAAGCTTTTTGGGGCTGGCTGGCTTCTCCCCACCACCACCTGGAGGAGTGACAGGGGCACTGTCTTAAAGGAGCAGGAATGCCCATACATGGAGGAGAGACTGCAGAGATCACAGCTTCAAGGAAGTTGCGAGCAAGAGACCCAGGAAAGGAGGCTTTACAGGCCACTGCTGCCAGCAGGGCCCTTTAAGGTTCTCCATCTCTACCACCCCCAACTTCCCAGAGGGGGACTGAAGCCAGAGAGGGGAGGGCCCCAGCCAAAGGCTGCCAAAGAATCGCCATCAGGTATGAAGGCTGCCTAATGAAAGCTGACTATCTCCCACCCAGGGTCTCTAAGCTCTAACTTCAGAGCTGGAAGATTTGCTTCTCTCCTATGAGGGCTGTGTGGGAGCCACGTTCTGAAGGACATCAATGCAGAGCCAGGCCAGTCACTGGCCAATTTCAAACTTCAGTTCAACCACCCATTGAGAAAGACTTAGAAGGAAAGTCTCTTAGGTGTCTCTAGCCAAGACATGAAAATCTTGGTGGGGTAGGGGAGTATCCCTGTATACCTCTCCCCAACCCATCTTCAGAAGGCAGGTCCCTGAAAGCTGGCAAGCTGGCAGGGTTTCAGGGAAGGGGGAAGCCTCACAGCACCAGGAACTGCCAGAGGAGGAGGATCAGTTCCTGCTAACTGGGGAGTGGGGGTGTGTGAGTAAGGAGGGAGACAGATATCACCGCCTTTACTGCCCTCACTTTAAGAATGCAGCACCCAGATCCCCAAACCATTCCTCCCTTTTCAAGGCCAACCCTATCCCCAGATTCCAGAGGCCAAGGTTTAGGGGAGCCCCAGGGATCATCTAAAACAGGGAGAGCCAGCAGACTCCCCACTCTACCTCAGCATGGGTGGCCTGTGAGCCCAGCTGTCTCCTGTCCATCTCCCAATAGGACACAAAGCCCAGAATAGCAAGGTCATAAGCGTGGGTAGGGCCTCCTGGAAGTGGGCAGAGGCTGGGGGCACCTGGAAGGAAAGCAAAAGGCAGGATGGTAAGAGGCAGAGCTGGATGGAGGTGAGCGGGCCAAGCATTTTAAGTAGGATTCTTCAGTACCCCATCCCTCCTAGTTGGTACCCACCACCCCAGAGCTGGGAAGTCCAGGGGTGCCCTCTGTTGGAGAGCAAAATCACAGTTCAGTTCAGAGGGCGGAGCCTGGGTTTAATGGAGGGCCCTGAGGAGGAGAGGAGCGCTGCAAACTCAAATGCCCACAGGGGCCAAGAAGTCATGTGACTTTTTAGGTGGGTGGAAAGGCAAGGTGGAAGATGAACTCCTTGAGGCTGAATCTTCTGATTTCAAGAGAATCCGGTAATCTGTGAACTCCAGTGGAAACATCATCCAGGCCAGGCCAATCACGTCAGCAGCTCCGACCCAGATGTGACTCCCGTTTCACAGATGTGTCCCCACATGGTATCCTGAGTCGGGGAATGCTACACCTTGCCCAGGTAACAGAATAAATAACAGGCAAAGTCAGGTGCTCTTTGCCTTCCATCCTCCAGCTTTCCCGCTGGGCCCTGAGGGGCTGTCAGCCTGCCCTGGGCCCTCTCCCCACACAGACGCCATGGCCCTGCCGCCCACTCCCGGCGGTCTCCTGCCTGCTTTTCTCCCTAGGGTAGGAAGCCTTAACCAGAGACTCCACAGCAGGAAAGGCCCCTGAAGACTGGAAACCCCGCTTTTCACCATCCTGTCCCATTAAGGGAAGTTGCCCAGAGACCCCGAGAAGAGGGGTCCGGCTCTGCACTTACGACTCGACCACCACCACAGCCCGTGAGGAGCGGGGGCTGGAAGCACAAGGCTGGAGAGCAACAGGGACTCGACCTGACCCTGCTTCCCAGCATCGTAGCTCTGGCGCTGACAACACTGAGTGGGCTGCTTTCCTGACCCGCATGGCCCAGCCCCCACCGCAAACACTGGCCACAGCCATCACAATGGAACTAAGATAAATCCTTTTATTTATGTGTCTCCATTTTGTTTAAAACAACAACAACCACCACCTTAATATAACTGACAGCCCTTCCCCTGCACCCTTCCTTGGGCTGGGGAGGGGTGGTTAATGGGGAAATGGCCCCCAGGGGTGGGGCTGACCATAGAGCCCCTCAGGGAGGTAATGGAGCCCGAATCCCCTGCCCAGGGGACAGGGCACCTGTAGTGTATGAACTGGGGAGTTAACAGGGCTCGTCAACCTTTTCTTGTACCATCATACATGCCTTTGGCCTTCAAGGGTCAGGAAGCATGTGGGAGGGGATTCCTACTGCTCCTCTTTGTCCTTACCCAGTCCCAATCTCACCAACCGAGGGCTGGGGAGCAAGAAGAGTGGAGAAAGAGTGGGATGGGGTGCCTCACACGAAGGAGTACTGGTTATTAATGGCTCTGGGATGGCCCCCTTCTTCTCCATCGCACCCTAGTGGAAACTGCTGGAGCTGCACCATCAGGGTCACCCCAGAATCCCCACCAGATCCAGAGACTCCCTGGCCCTCCGTGCCAGGTGCTATGGCCTCTTCCAATTCAACCACGGGGACCAGCTCAACCACGGGACCAGCTCTTCCTGGACCCCTCCACTGCCCGCTTTCTCTTTCTCTTGCCTCTCTGGCTGCTGCGGCGGTTGCTGCCGCCACTTCTGGCGCCCCCGACACCTCTTCTGCCCCAGGTTGTGGGGGATCTGTCCATGAAGGGGTTCAGGGGGCTGCGGTAGGTCATGGGAGGTGTTTGGTTCTAGACAGGAATGGTAAGAAGACAGACTGATTGTGGATGGAGGCAAGCTCCTGCAGCGG